ACTACTAAACCCCCACCACTACTACCACCCCTACCACCATACTACCAAATACTTCCCCACCACAACCCCCAACCCCTACCACCACCACTACTAAACCCCACTACCACCAAACCAAATACTACCAAAAACTACCACCACCACTACCCCCACTAAACCCCCACCCCTACCACCCCCTACTACCACTCTAAACCCCCACCACCACCACTACCACCACCACTACCACCACTACCACCACCCCTACTACCCCACTTTCCAAAATACACCAAAAAAATACCCATACTACCACCACCACTACCAAACTACCCCCCACCCCTACACCACCACCTTTCTAAACCCCCACCACTACACTACCACCACCAATACTACAACCCCCACACAAATACCCCCAAATACTACCCCCACTAAACCCCCACCACTAAAACCAAAACCCCAAAATACCACCACTACCCACCCCACCCCTACCACTAATACCACTACCCCCAAAACTACCACCACTATACTACTACCCCCACTTTCTACCACCACTACTACCACCCCTTCCCCCACTACACCACCCCCACTCCCCACTACACCACCCCTACTACCACCACTACCACCCCTACCCCCCATAAATACCCCCCCACTACTACCACAACCACACCACCACCACTACCCCACCATTTCCACCCCCAAAAAACCTAGCGGGGAAAAAAAGGGGTCATAATGAAAGCACAAAAAAGATTGCCCAATCAGGCAGGGGTTTTGTAAATAAACAACTTTTTTTTTATGTCAGTATTGGGCCCCCGGGAAAAATGACTCATCTAGTAAATTTTTTTCAATGAGGAATGTACGAGGAACTACCCGCATTTTAGTCATTCACAAAATCCCTTAAAATTCCTTTGCGCTGTCGTTTTAAGTGCGCTTTTAGAGTGGGCCCCGGTTTTTTAATCAATTTTTTGTTGTCTTTTTGCAAGTTCGGGGGGGTAATACCATTTCCTATCCCGGGAAGGTTTAAGGTTTTGAGGGAAGAACAATGTTTTTACTTTGCCGAAAATCCCCTTTAATTTTTACCCAGGATTTAACGTCCCATCCCAAATTTTTTAACCCACGATTTAATGGTTAAACTAAAAAATTTTCAAGCTTCCTTCTACACAGTGTGGTAAAACTGCTACAACTTTGAAAGTTGGGAAACGTGTTACCGCAGTGGGGGTAATTTTCAAAGCTGCAGCAATTTTGAAGCTTATCAAATTGCAAAAAATTTGCAAACCCCAGTAAGTCGAAAAACTTTAAACCTACAAAATTGCAACAACCCCTTTAAACTTTATAAAATTTTTAGTAAATGTTGGGAATTTTGGGGAAAATTTTTGGGCCCACACGTCTTTCCCATGGTGATTTTTTTTTTACTAGACAAAAATTTAAGCCTTCCCAAAAAAAGGATTTTTAAGCTAATGGCCAGAAAAAAATCACAAGTTTTTTTAAAATACAAAAAAGCATTTGGGAAACCCTTTCCCGTTTTAGGAAGGTAAACCAGTTTTTGAAAGTTTTTAAACCGATCAAGGAGTCGTTCCCAAGTTACTGCCTGAGAAAACTGCCTGTTTTTTTTTTTTCATGTAACTAGACTTCTTTTATGCAGTTGGACTTGTTTTTTATGTAACTGGACTTGCCATGTGAGCCAAGGTATCCCCTGTATCAGAACCCCAGCCCCATACAGGGAGGTCCAGGGCCTGGAGAATAATTTCAAGACGTTCAGGAGTTTTCATACTCGAGAACCTGTAGTTTAACACCCTCCAATGGCTCATAAACTGTAGTTTAACCCTATAAGATGCACAGGAACTGTAGATCAACACCATAAGGTCCGGGAGCTAGTGTTCAACTCTGTCACTGAAAATACTAGAGATCTTTTTGGTCTGACCCTGGGCAGGTGTACCCCTGTACTCCATAACCCCGGTCTCCAGTTTTGGAAGACACGTACAGTTTAGGACATTAGAGGAAAACGTTTCGCCACGAGTGATTTTCTCACTCCTGAGGAAGCTGCGCGTGGCGAAACATCTCCTTTAATAAATATCATGAGTTGTATGCGTGTTTTTTTTTTCACATGTTGATATGCACGTACCATTAATATTCAGTCTCCGGTACTGCAAGAAAACCCCTCTCGCGTGCCCTAAGTACACTATGGAGGAGGAGCTTGGACATGGGTGAAATTCCACAGTCACTAAAACAACGGATATAGCCCCACTCCATAAAGGTGGCAGCAAAGCATTAGCTAAGAACTATAGACCAATGCTCGGACGTCCCACATCATAAATAATCTTTGAAAGAGTGCTAAGAAGCAGGATTGCAAATCACCTGGATTCCCAAAATCTGCACAATCCAGGGCAACATGGGTTCAGGGCAGGTCGCCCCTGCTCTCACAACTACTGGATCACTATGACATGGCCTTGGATGCACTGGAAGAAAATCAGAATGCAGATGTAATATACACAGACTTTGCAAAAAGCATTTGACAAATGCGATCATGTCGTAATAGCCCATAAATACGTGCAAAGGAATAACTGGGAAAAGTGGGGAGATGGATCTTCAACTTCCTAACAAATCGAACACAAAGAGTAGTGGTCAACAGAGTTAAATCGGAGCTGCCATAGTGAAGAGCTCTGTTCCACAAGGCACAGTACTCGCCCCCATCTTATTCCTTATCCTCATATCAGACATAAATAGAGATATACACCACAGCACCGTATCATCCTTTGCGGATGATACTAGGATCTGCATGAGGCTGTCATCTGCTGAGGACGCGGTTAACCTCCAAGAAGATATAAACAAAGTTTTCCAGTGGGGCAACGGTAAACAATATGATGTTCAATGAGGACAAATTCCAACTACTCCGTTATGGAAAACTGGAGGAGATAATAACTAGAACAGAGTATACTACTGACTCCGGCCATACAGTAGAGCGGGAAAATAATGTAAGGGACCTGGGAGTAGTAATGTCTGAGGATCTCACTTTCAAGGATCACAACAGTGCCACGATCGCACGTGCAAAGAAAATGATAGGATGGATAATGAGAACTTTCAAAACGAGAGATGCCAAGCCCATGATATCCTTTTCAAATCACTTGTTCTCTCTAGGCTGGAATACTGCTGTACATTAACATCTCCATTCAAAGCAGGTGAAATCGCAGATCTAGAGAGTGTACAGAGATCCTTTACTGCACGTATAAGTTTGTCAAGCACCTTAACTACTGGGAACGCTTGGAAGCACTTGACTTGTACTCGTTGGAACGCAGGAGGGAGAGATATATCATAATCTACACTTGGAAAATCTTGGAAGGAATGGTCCCAAATCTGCACACAGAAATCACTCCCTACGAAAGTAAAAGACTGGGCAGGCGATGCAAAAACCCCCAATAAAAAGTAGGGGCGCCATTGGTACACTAAGAGAAAACACCATAAGTGTCCGGGGCCCAAAACTGTTCAACAGCCTCCCATCAAGCATTAGGGGAATTGCCAATAAACCCCTGGCTGCCTTCAAGAGAGAGCTGGACAGATACCTAAAGTCAGTGCCGGATCAGCCGGGCTGTGGCTCGTACGTTGGACTGCGTGCGGCCAGCAGTAACAGCCTAGTTGATCAGGCCCTGATCCATCGGGAGGCCTGGTCATGGACCGGGCCGCGGGGGCGTTGATCCCCGGAATAACCTCCAGGTACATCAGTGCGCCCCAGAGATACTATAGTTATTCCTCATTACCCTTAAGAGACACAGGAGCTGCAGCTCAACTTTCTTCAGAGAACTAATGTGTGTAACTCAACCCTTCACCAGAGATCCAGGAGCTGGAGATAACACCTTTGAGGTCCAGTGAACTTCAGCTGAACTTATGACGAGTAGCACCTGTAGCTTAACACACACTCAAAGCCCAGGAGCTGCAGATCAGCACCATTAAGAAGTCCAGGAACTGGAACGTAACCTAGAAAGCATTTATGCAGCAACTCTCACTCTGGCTCGCTCGGTCGCGCACGTTACCCGATTGTGAAACATGACGTAAATACGCCCAGAAACACGTCATCTTACAACTTGTAAATATATATAATATAATATATATATATATAATATTATATATATATATATATATATATATATATATATATATATATATAATATTTCAACAAACCGGCCGCATCCCACCGAGGCAGGGTGGCCCAAAAGGAAAAACGAAAGTTTCTCCTTTTACATTTAGTAATTTATACAGTAGAAGGGGTTACTAGCCCCTTGCTCCCGTCATTTTAGTCGCCTCTTACAACACGCATGGACTACGGAGGAAGAATTCTGTTCCACTTCCCCATGGAGATAAGAGGAAATAAACAAGAACAAGAACTAGAAAGAAAATAGAAAACCCAGAGGGGTGTGTATATATATGCTTGTACATGTATGTGTAGTGTGACCTAAGGGTAAGTAGAAGTAACAAGACGTACCTGAAATCTTGCATGTTTATGAGACAGAAAAAAGGACACCAGCAATCCTACCATCATGTAAAACAATTACAGGCTTTCGTTTTACAATCACAGTAACTGGCTGGAAAACAAACTCGCGTAACTGAGGTACGTTACGTGCTTCAGGAAACAAGTCAACTGATACAGTACACGTTGTGTGCTGGACGGACACACCAGAGACTGTCATCTTACTGGAAGTGATCAGGGTTGATGTGAGAAAGGGAAAAGGTGGCTCCAGTTCTTCAGATCAGGAACCTTCACTAGCATCAAGGTATGTCCCGTGAAGGGTCATCTCACCGAGAGATGCTTTGCACTTTCCTCTTTAACTCAAACCAGCCTTTCACAGATGTTCCTCCCCTGCTGTCAGCAGTCTTCCGCCTTGTGGCACTTTGTGATCCGCACGGGTTTGGCGCATTTTTTGTGATTATAATAATGTTAAAATAAAAAGTTCAAAATGAGAACTTATAGCTAAGAGAACAGTGGTAGAGGGAGGAAGTAAATGCTATAGCGGTTACCAAGCAGAGGCTCTCGCTGACTCACCTGTTGTAGGCCTCGAGGGCTTCTTCTTGTTTATCTTGAGCATCGAGCTGGAGGGCGGCCTTCAGACCCATGATCCAGCCGTCAACCCGCTGTTGAACGTTCACTTCCTCCATGTGTGTTTGGGCGTCGCCCTGGACGGCCTGCTGGACGATAGCGGACGTGGGCGCGGCGCTGCTGCTCAGACGGACCTTAGAACTGTTTTCACGGGACACCGACGACACTATGCGACCTAAAACAGATCTTTCACTTTTGCTAATAAAGTTAGTGGCTTTGGCACCCGATGGCTTGATTTTTCTGGCTCTGGTCTCTCCAGTTGGAACCACTGGCGAGCCCTTGTTCCTGGCGACTGAGGTTTCTTGACGCTTTTTGTGTTGGTCAGTTGCTAAGAGATTGTTGATGGGTGTGGATTCGTAGTCAGCGGTGTCAGTGTCTGAATCTCGCAGAGTGGAGGCTGTGGATGAGGTGGATGAGGTGTACAAACTGTGTGTGCTGCCCACTAGCTTGTGTTGACGCTGTACTGCTGACCTTCGCTGCTGCACTTGATCCATAGACATCTGCCTCCTGACTCCGAAAGCTGTTGCTGAGACCGAGCTTTGATTATGTTGCTGAGAGTCGTTCCCTGCCAGAGTGCCAGGCGCTGAGAGAGAGAGCGCCACTTCTCTGAACTCGCGACGTCTCATCCTCCCCCACGCCCACGCCCACACCCTCGCCACAGGGCTGGTACACCCACCATTGTCGCCGCCCCTGCCACCGCCCACCTCCGTCCCAGTATGGGCCACCCCGGGCCGCACGTTGTACAGCAAGAAGAAACAGCGAAGGTTGTTTCAACAACCTCCCTCCACTTCAAGGTTGAGCCAATTTAAACGCGCGTGGAATTTATTTGTTAATGTTCAGTTTATATTCCTTGAACCAACGGTAGTGTAGTTTCTGTCCGTGAGTACCCTTTGTAAATTAGAAAAACGTATGTGTAATAACAAAAGTAGTTTTATTTACACACAAACACCGTAATATTATCTCTTGTATGATGAATATCTAGACCTGGATTGGGTAACGTGGTTGTAAAAAACTTGGGTTATAAACAACGTATATCATAGTTTTACGCTGAACACCGTACTAGAGACCAGATCACTGTACACCCGGGTATGAGAGAGCATAGTGTGGTAGACACTCGCTGGAGGGGACAATCCTCGTCCTCTGTATGGTGTGGAAGAATTGACGGTTCTGATGACAACTGAAGGACGACAGTGTGATAAGAAGGAAGGTGAAGGAGCCACTCAGGAGAGTGGTGGCGACGTGTCACTCATCCCCATTGAGTGCTGTGGCTGGAGGGCCAATTACAGTAGTGTCGCCTGTGGATCAGCGTGCCGGGTGCTGCTGCTGACACAAGGATGCACGCCTCGCCTGACGAGGTGTCAGCGCCCAGTAACCACACAAGGAAAAGGCAGTGCTAGCCAGGAAGGATTTAAACAACTGGTGGCTGTGGTGTTGTCAAGTCTCTGGGTTGGGGTGGAGTGAAGGTAGTGTTGGTGGCGGTGTGAGGCAGTATGTGTGAGGGGGAGCGAGGCAGGGAAGCTAGCAGTGTGTTGCCACCAGGTACACTGCTGGAGGCTTACTGGTGTCCAGACTACCTCACCCGCCACCCAGCGCTCTCCTCTGACCTGCCACACACCACCCTACATTTCATTCACCTTCCTTCACTACTCTGCTCACTCTAGAATTTAAGCAGCTATTTTTTTTTCTTTATCAGTGACTCAGTACAATTATTTTCCCTCACTTCATACCAAGGCCTCGATGGTTCCTCATAATGTAAATTCAAGTGTGCCACCCAACAGTGTCAGGCGAAGTATTATGAAAGGGTCATGTAATAAATGCATAACAGGAATGACTGCATAGTTAAATATAACAAGGACCTGGAGCCTGAGCCTCGCTTAGATTGTGCTGGAGCACAAGTTCCGTGCCTCAGACTGTCGTTCACCTTTAACTTATTCATAACTTTCTGAATATATTAAGCACTTAAGTCAATTTATCAATTTTACCATTACATTTTTCCCTTTATATCTATTTCACAAGTGTGCAAGTTAAGCGGTGGTCACTATATAAGTGCTTAACAAATGTAAATATATCCTAATTGAACAGTTTAACTTGTGTGTGCACACTTGTTGCCACTGACCTCCACAACTGTCTCCTGCTTACTTGCTAGAAATGCTAAATATTGCATAATGGCCGTTTATATTTTCTTCACAAATGACGTTGCCACTCGAGGAATTTAATATGATTCTGACCTTGTATTAAACGTGAATACCTCACCACCCACCTACCTACCTACCAGAACGTTTATAATAAATGAATTACTAATTATATATTATTATTATTATTATTATTATTATTCATGGAAAAGCGCTAGACTTGTATTGGGCACACACTGCCTTGGAAATAGGTTACAGTTTGCCTAATTTTTGAAATGTTATAAGTTATATTTTAGGTGTTACGAATTGCTTAGATTGTGGCATATCAATTCTGAAATAAAGAAATGAAAATTTCAGATTAACTTTCAGTATGTGAATTATTGGGCCATGATGATGGCGTCAAAAATTTACGGAAGTTGATGAGTTTTGAAAAAAATAAAATTAAAATGTTAAATAATCAGTAGTGACGAGTGTTTTCGCCGGTCTGTAACTACAGAAGCCTTTGTAGCAGAGCTGTACATATTTTATTTCTAAAGTGTGAGCACCAAGACCTGGGTCGTGGGTAGATATCTTAAACCATGTGAAAGAAAAATGCATATATGGATACATATAAAGAGTCGTAACAAGATATACGCGTTGTATTAACAGTCATAACAAGACTCGCGTTATGTACATAGTCGTAAGATATACACACCATATAAGGTCAGAACAGGATATACTCGCTATATAAACAGTCATAATAAGAGAGTGTCTTGTTATGGCAGAGGGTCTCACTCTCAAAGATCACAACAGTGTATCTACTACATCTGCTAAGAAAATGATAGAATGGATAATGAGAACCTCCAAAGCTAGGGGTGCCAAACCCATGATGATTCTCTTCAAATCGTTTGTTCTCTCTAGGCTGGAATATAGCCGTGCATTGATGACCTCTTTCAAGGCAGGCGAAATTGCAGACCTGGAGAATATACGGAGAACTTTCACGGAAAGTAAAAGTACGATGAAGCACCTAAATTTTTGGGAACGGTTGAAGTCCTTTGATTTGTATTCCCTGGAACGCAGGCGAGAGAGATACACGAGAGAGACTAGTACCAAATCTGTACACGAAAATCACTCCCTACGAAAGCAAAAGACTTGGCAGGAGACGCAACATCCCCCTAGTGAAAAGCAGGGGCGCCACGAGTACGCTAAGAGACTACACAATAAATATCAGGGGCCCAAGACTGTTCAACTGCCTCCCAGCATACTTAAGGGGGATTACCAAAAGACCCCTGGCTGTCTTCAAAAAGGCACTGGATAGGCACCTAAAGATAGTACCTGACCAGTCGGGCTGTGGCTCATACATCGGTTTACGTGCAGCCAGCAGTAACAGCCTGGTTGATCACGCCCTGATCCACCGCGAGACGTGGTCACAGACTGGACTGCGGGGTCGTTGACCCCCGAAACCCCTTCCAGGTATATTCTAGGTATGCCATGTAACATATAACCAGTCGTGATGAGACATACGCACCATATAACCAATGGTAAGATATACCCACCATATAATCAATCGTGATAAAAACACGCACCATATAACCAGTCTTAACAAGATATACGTACCATGTTTGTAGTTATAATAACGTATACGCACATATATCAATCATAACATGTACGCAACATATAGCAATCATAACATGTACGCAACATATATGCAATCATAACATGTACGCAACATATATCCAATCATTTAAATGTACGCAACATATATGCAATCATAACATGTACGCAACATATATCCAATCATAACATGTACGCAACATATATGCAATCATAACATGTACGCAACATATATGCAATCATAACATGTACGCAACATATATGCAGTCATAACATGTTACGCAACATATATCCAATCATAACATGTACGCAACATATATCCAATCATAACATGTACGCAACATATATGCAATCATAACATGTACGCAACATATATCCAATCATAACATGTACGCAACATATATGCAATCATAACATGTACGCAACATTATATTGGTACAGTTGCACCTACACAGAAGTAACCTTGGTACCAACCTGCCCGTCAGATACATCAACCATTGATGAGTTAAGTTCTCATAAGGTTGCGCGAATACGACACATGTTCAACAGTTAATTAGGTATCTTTATTCCGAAATGTTTCGCCTACACAGTAGGCTTCTTCAGTCGAATAGAGGCAACGGAAGCAGTGATGTTAGATTTGAGAGAGATCTACCCAGTAGTCTTGCTACGCTGCCTCTCAAATATTACATTCTTGCTTCTACTAGCGAACTCCGCCTCGTCTGTCGTCAAGATTTTCTGCGCCTCACCTTCGTCAGTATATAAGTCTCCATTCTGATGCTTCAGCTCCACAATGTTTTAGACTATGGAGCAGTACGCTTCTCCAGGCTGACGGACTGACCACCTCAAAACTACGTCTTCGAGGGTGGACTACTGCTTCTGCTGCCTCCTCTGTATTCGACTGACGAAGCCTACTGTGAAGGCGAAACGTTTCGGAATAAAGATACCATTGTTACATTAATGCTCGAGTATATCGTGACTCGACAGGGAAAAATTCGCATGTTACACATATAATTGTAAGCTGTGCAGTTACAGGCCTCAGTAACACTCTCCGCCCTGTTCTCAGTAGTATACATCAGTGCAGAATGTTAGAAGACAAGCACTAGAGGCTATTGAAAGTTATTGGACCTATTGTAAGAACAGTGAATTGGGTTACATGGCATATACACCTGTCCTACTTAACATAACACAAACGTTAACAATACGAAGCGGGTCACATGAGGCTCTCCCATGTTACAAACTTAACTAAGAATTAAGATCCCTCCTCAGGGAAACTTAACTAGACTTATTATGCTCACTCCTTAAACCCAGAAAGGTATTACTGTATTCTGTCAGCCCAGGACCATCACTCTGACAATTATTAACAAAAAGTAAAAAGTAGCTGACTATCCTCCACGAAAAGTAACTGATTATCCTCTACGAAAAGTAACTGATTATCCTCCACGAAAAGTAACTGATTATCCTCTACGAAAAGTAACTGATTATCCTCCACGAAAAGTAGCTGACTATCCTCCACGAAAAGTAACTGATTATCCTCTACGAAAAGTAACTGATTATCCTCCACGAAAAGTAACTGATTATCCTCCACGAAAAGTAACTGATTATCCTCCACGAAAAGTAGCTGACTATCCTCCACGAAAAGTAACTGATTATCCTCTACGAAAAGTAGCTGATTATCCTCCACGAAAAGTAACTGATTATCCTCCACGAAAAGTAGCTGACTATCCTCCACGAAAAGTAACTGATTATCCTCTACGAAAAGTAACTAATTATCCTCCACGAAAAGTAACTGACTATCCTCCACGAAAAGTAACTGACTATCCTCTACAAAAAGTAACTGATTATCCTCTACAAAAAGTAACTGATTATCCTCAACATTCCGGAGATCATTTTGAACAGCCTTATAAAAGTCTGGGGTATTTCCAAGTTTTTTTCAAACGGAGGTTCTCTCTCTCTCTCTCTCTCTCTCTCTCTCTCTCTCTCTCTCTCTCTCTCTCTCTCTCTCTCTCTTCTCTCTCTCTCTCTCTCTCTCTCTCTCTCTCGTTCTCTCTCTCCTCTCTCTCTCTCTCTCTCTCGTTCTCTCTCTTCCTCTCGTTCTCTTTCTCTCTCTCTCTCTCCTGCCATTACTTATCAGTAGTGGTCATGTGATAGGTCCAGCCAGGGCAGTGGCGGTGGTGTTTCCATTAGTGTGAGCTGAGTTTACGAGCCTGGTGTCAGCCTAGCGGCGTGCCTCGTGTCAGCCTGGCGGCGAGTCTCGTGTCTGCCTGGCGGTGAGCCTCGTGTCAGCCTGGTGGCGAGTCTCGTGTCTGCCTGGCGGTGAGCCTCGTGTCAGCCTGGCGGCGTGCCTCGTGTCAGCCTGGCGGCGAGCCTCGTGTCAGCCTGGCGGCGAGCCTCGTGTAGTCACACCATACCCATGGTGCGGGTGGAAGTCACACCATACCCATGGTGTGGGTGGAAGTCACCATACCCACGGTGTGGGTGGAAGTCACACCATACCCACGGTGTGGGTGGAAGTCACACCATACCCACGGTTGTGGGTGGAAGTCACACCATACCCACGGTGTGGGTGGAAGTCACACCATACCCACGGTGTGGGTGGAAGTCACACCATACCCATGGTGTGGGTGGAAGTCACACCATACCCACGGTGTGGGTGGTAGTCACATCATACCCATGGTGTGGGTGGAAGTCACACCATACCCACGGTGTGGGTGGAAGTCACACCATACCCACGGTGTGGGTGGAAGTCACATCATACCCTCCTAGAATAAGTTATTATTTATTATATTTCTTTTCATAGCTAAGAAAACTGGTTGGATAAATAAGTAAGAACTGATGAATTTGAATAGGACTCGTGTAATGCTTTTATGTAATAATAAAAAGTCTTCATCCGTTAAATCAGTATTAGCTGTCATTGTACACTAT